TCTTACCCTTGCTGTCTCAGGGGTTTCATCCACTTGTGTTGGTGGGGCTCCCGCACCTTCTTCAACCACATATCATAACTTTCTGGTTTTGAGAATGGTTATCATCTTAATACTCCAGAAGTCATATTTCTCCCCATCAAAAAATAGGGATCCCTTAATTTTGCACCACTCTTTCAAGTGAAAATTTCTTTTGATTATCAATATTACAAACTTCTGATTATCAATATCAGAGTGTGAATTTCTGATTATCAATATCAAGGTCTTCTGATTAGTGATTATCTTCGCAATATATGCTCTCCTAAATTTCTGATTATCAATATCAGGTTCTTCTGATCATCAGAAACTTGTGATCACTGCCCTCTTTTTTTTTTAATTATTAATTTCTCTCTCTCTATGCCTTTCATCCGCAAGGTTCTGATACGAAATTGATTCTTATGAATGTTTACAATTTATAAGAAAGAGAAGAAAAAGAAATATGAATATAATTAACTTTCTCTCTATTATGAAAGAAAAAAAAAAAGAGTAACTTTTATTGTATTACACTCAATTGTTGAATTGTTTTCTGAGACAAGATTCGATTTATATTTATAGAGAATGAACAGGTGTGTGAAACAACAAAACTCTTTACTCTTTATTGTAAAGACACAACTCTTAACTATAAAGAACATAACTCTTATTTGTACAGACACACATTTTCATTTTAAAAGATACAATATGAAGAGTCACGACTCTTTGTATAATAACTAACTAATTTAAATATATTAAGGAGAGATTTGATTATATAATATAACAAGTTACACTTTGACAATGCACTATACCATCATATGTGTCGGTCAGGAGAGAGAGGCCACTAATGAACCAGATAAATGAATCTCAGCTACCATTGGAGCTCTGAAGAAAGCATCACCAGCAAACCTTAAAAACTCTCTTAGATCGGTTAGTTCCTCAAAATGTGTGACGTGCAATAATGGGATAGAGCTGACTTTGTGCATGAAATTTCAGAAAAGAGAAGGACGATACCAGGGGATAGGGCAGTGTCTTACCCGTGAGTATGTCATGCGGTGAAATGAGACATAAGCAAAGATTTTGTGGAGGTTTTGTCTCTTTCCTGATTGTATATCTTTATTCTGAAACTGTTCTTTTTTGTAGAGATCATTACAACAACGTGTCTAACGATGCAGGGTTCCAGAGCCGTAATCATAGACAAAGACAGGAACCCAAAGGTTTAACAAAAACTATATATATTATTGTTTGGGTTATGTCATATTTGTTTATATAATGTCATAAATATTGAATTACAGTGGGAGCCACGGCGAGTAGAACAGATTACGAATAACATGGTAAACCAGTACTTCAAGAGAATGGATGAAGAGGATGGATGGGAGGATCGAAAGCTTCCACTAAAGAAAAACTTGCCTGCTTCAATAATCGCAAAGCTGTGAACTGGAAAAAGTTGTGAAGCTGATGTGTGATCGTTCGTTGGTTGGAGTTCAAAGTTCATCGGTTGTCATGCACCCATTTCCATATTTTTAAGGACCTATTTCTCCATTCACTCACTTTTCCTTACTGTTCTATTAATTTGAGTGTGAACATGTGTTGAATTTTTTTTTTAAAAACTAGTAATTTGGCTGTAATAATTAAAATTCAAGTGTCGAGGCAATTGCAAGAGGTGCTTTTGCACTGGGTTCCAAAATATTTTTAAAAGTTTTGTTATAAGTTTAAAGCTTTTGTTCTGAAAATTTATGGTCTTTTCAGCAAAAAAAGATAGTTGTTTGTTTTTAGACTTAGAGTTTACATAGGGCCCAGAAAATAATGAGACTGGCAAGAAACGTTGTTTGTTTTTAGACTTAGAGTTTAATTAGGTTCCGTGAAACCAATCGTTTAAAGGATTTATTTTTATTTTTCAGCTCCAAGATTTGTTACTGAAATTAAAAGAATAACTAAAATGGCCGCCTCCAAATAGTTAGCCATAACAATGGTTTTTTTTTTTGTCTCAATTACGGTAAACGCAAAACCGGCCCTAGATCCAAGTAATAGAAGTAATGGTTTCCAGCCGCCATTAATATAAAAAATATCGGTTACATATTTTCAAATTTGTGTTTTTAGTATAGTGGTTGATTGCGCCCTGTTTGCAAAAATAATTTCACACACTTATGTATTAATACAATCATTTTCAATAAAAAATATGACATAACATTTTTTCAACAAAATATATGACATATCACAATAAAATAATGATATGATTTGCGGTTATATATCATATAGACAATTAAATTTCATTTTAATTTATACTTTTTATAAACTATTTAATAATTCATATATTATCATTAGAGTAAACCTATTCAAATCTGATATTAAATCCTTTAATAAAATATATAACAATGTTTGCCAAATTTTGAAATATTATTGAATTTTATTTTTTATAACTATACAATTTTAATTAATAAAAAATTATAATCTTTTTTACGATTTATCAAAAATTATAAACTATAACAAAATTTTAAACGTAGTATCTTTTATTTTTATTTTTTTATATCTACAATTTTAGAAATATTGTTTAGTTTACCTTTTGAAAATTGTAAAATAATATATCCTTTTTTCTTAATTTTATAAAAACATATTTAATATATTTTAACCAAATGATAGATAAAAATCTATGTAATTTTATAATTTTAATATATATATATATATATATATTTTATCTTCTTATAGAATTTAAATTAAAAAAATATTCTATTTTCTTATTTTATGTTTAATAAAATAAAAATTTATGAAATATTTGGTTAGAAAATGATAAAATCTAAAATATTAATAATTTTTTATTTTTAAATATATTTTAAATTTGAAAGTTTATTGCTGCACATAATGCAGAAACCACCTAGTTTAGTAATAAATAAGAGTCAGGCTAAATAATTTTCTCTTATAAAAATTATTAACTTTTGTTTTAGTTTGACATCCAATAAGGTAGAAACGTATATGTTTACTACTTTTTCAGTAGTATTCACTTTTTCCTTTCATTTATCTCTTCCAAAAGAACATTATTACCTTTTTCCCAAATTAATCTTTTGGAATACAGTCAAAACTCAAGTCGTCATTCTTTAGCAATTAGAATTGATGGTTAGCAATTAGAATTGATGTGACAAAAAAAAAAAAAGGTTAACCCCATGTCCCGCTTTTAGAGTGACCCTTATGGCACAGTTATAGTAGAAGTCTGGATCATAGTAACACGAACATAAGAACACTTCCTTTAGAAAAGAACCATAGTTCTTCTGTCTTTATTCATTACTCCCTCCGTTTCAAATTATATGATGTTTTAGAAGGTTTAAATTGTTTCAAAATATATGATGTTTTAAAGTTTTAAGGTATCTTTTGAGGTTTTCAGGTTAACTTTAACTTTATTGGAAACTGTTAAACCAATAAAATTTTACAGTCTTTTTTATAATTGGTTGAATGATTATAATATTATATTCTTTAAAGTACCTTTTAGAATAATGTAAATTTCTTAATCTTCGTGCATCAACCCAAAACATCATATATTATGAAACGGAGGGAGTATTATTTTATGCCTTATATATAAAGGAAACAAAGTAAAAAAGAATCATTGATTCTTGAACTAGTGGAAATGGAAAATGAGATAATGTTCCTACAGCTAGAAGGATCACTTTCTCTTATTTGCATAGACAAATATCAAGAAACAAACACACAAGTATGGCTCACTCCTGTCGCTGATAGGAGAAACCATTGACAGTGAGACCTCCATCAACACAAATGGTCTGACCAGTAATATATGAAGCTGCAGGTAGACACAAAAAAGCCACAAGTGATGCAACCTCTTTTGGCTCTCCAGCGCGACCAAGTGGAGTTCTACTAAACAAACTCTTCCTGTAGCCCGCGTCTTCAAGATGCTGATTATTGATTACAGGTTAAGCCATATCAGTGATATGAGAATCATAAGTACAAGGTGTTAATTCGAAAATTAATAGATAAGAAAAACTGGAGGGTGTTTATTGATTACAGGTTCAGCCATATCAGTGAGGATAAAATTAGGAGCAACAGAGTTGGTTCTTATGCCATCAGCTGCCCACTCACACGCCAAACTTCGTGCTAGTTGATTCATAGCCCCTGTACATTCACACACAAAGATATAAATTAAAACAATCAATTAAAAAGCTGTACGAAGAAATACCTCTCTTTATATATGGATGAAAACCCTTATATTTTGACATTCAAATTTTTTTTTAACAATAACTGCTGCGTTCACCTAAGAATCGATATGAATTATTAATACGTGCACACACTACACACACTATATATATAACCATTTTAGTTGTGCATTTTGACACCACATTTTAATTACTTTTAAGTAGGTTTACCTTTCGTTAAACCATAGAGGGATCCGCATTCCATTGATACAACCCCTCCAACAGAAGAATTCATGACAATGCTTCCAAATCCAGAAGCCTTTAAAAGAGGATGTGAAAGCTGGCTAAGATGATAAGCTGATTCCAAGTTTGTTGAAATATGGAACGAGAAATCGTCTGCCCCATATTCTGTTGTTGGTTTAACGCGAGCTACGCCAACGTTATTCACCTATGTTGAGCAGAACAAAAAGAGAAACAAATATCTTACTATATATGCGACTACTTGATAGAAATTTTTTTAGTATAAGGATATACTAAGTTCATTAAGTTAAAATTAATTTACAAGAATATTCAGCTTGCCGTCGAACATCTTTGATACGGTTTGCATCAGAGTTTTTCTCTCAGGACGAGAGGATACATCACATATTGAACCGCTCACTTGAAACCCTTTCTTTTCCCATTCGCTTAAACTTTGATTGAGCAGTGTTTCTGATATGTCGCATACATGGATTCTAGCTCCAAAACTAGCTAACTCTTCTACTATGGCATGCCTAAAAGAATCCACAATGTAACAAAAAGTTATCGACATTACATTGAAAAAGGGGATTTAGCTATGGGAAAAGATATGAAAAAACGAACCCGATTCCGCTGGCTCCACCAGTTACAAGAGCAGTCATGTCATGAAGACTCCATCTTTTATCCATTTTTTGGTTTTGAATGTGAGTACTGAGTAGGAATGACACAATACCAAATAACATTTATAGAGACAAAGTATAGCTCAATTATACGTAGGTAATGACGTTTTGGTGAAGTGGAAACATTAAACGTTATTAAAAGTAATCAAAATTAATAATGTAAATGAATTTTTTCAGCTATAACAGCAACTGGGTATAAAATTAAGTAATGTGCAAAAATATACATAATTTTTTAAAATATTAGTTTGGCTGATTTTGGTGTGATCAGTTGCGTTTCTTTTATTAGCACTGATTCTGTCTTTTCCTAATTATTATTTTTCTCTTCCTAATATTCTGGTTGATCCACATGCATTTCCAAAAATAGCTAGATCTTCTACTATGGCATGCCTGATACAGTCCACAACGTAAGAAAAAGTTATCGACATGACTTTGAAATAGGAGATTGAGCTATAGGAAAAGATACGATATAGCTAGAGAGTAGAAAAATGAACCCGATTCCGCTGTCTCCACCAGTTACAACAGCAGTCATGCCATGAAGGCTCCGTCTTTTATCCATTTTTTTGTTTGAATGTGAGGAGCAATGACCACAGATTCCAAAAAAACATTTATAGAGGCCAAGTAAATCAAATATATGTAGTTAATGACGTTTTGGAGGAGTGGAAACATCATAAGTCATTTACAATAATAAAATTTAGATTATACTCCCTCCGTTTCAAATTATTTGTCATTCTAGAATTTTGCCCACAAATTAAAAAAATAACTTAAATGTTTAGATTTGTCATTGTTTGACCCTTAAAATTACATAATATTTAATATTTACTTAATTTAATTAGAGATAAAATAATAGTAAAAACTGTATTGAAAACATAAAACAACATATATTTTGCTACAAAAATTTTATGTTAGAATGACAATTAATTAGAAACAGAGGGAATATAAGTTAAGTAAATTGTATAAATTAAGTAATATGAAAAATACAAAATAAAATATTTTAATAATAACTGGGTTGATTTGGGTGTAAACAATTGTATTTCTTCTATTAATTTGGTTGATTTGGGTGTGAACAAGTGTTGAGTTTTTTTTTTTAAATAAAGATTTGGCTCTAAGGGCATCTCCAACCATGACACCAAATTTGATGTTGAAATTACACCAAATTTGGTGTTTTGGTGTAAAGTATTTTTGGTTATCTCCAACCATGACACCAAACATTACACCAAAAATATTATTATATATTATTTGAAATTTTCAGTTTTAATATTTTTTATGTTTTTATTATTTTTAATTGATAAATAATTATTTTCCCACATTTACATATTACAATTATTATTTTTTGTGATTTTATGTTAATAAAATTAATACATTTTTTTTGGTTTAACAATATTATATTTTTTTATTTATTTTATATATAATACTATATTGTATTAAATTTATAAAGTATTAATTATAAAAACAACATAATAATAGAATAATATATTTATTTCATAAAAAATATTAAATAGTAATACAAGTTTATCTATATTATAAAAAAATAAAAAAGTTTGGTAAATTTAATAGTATTATATAAAGTTAATTATTTGTTATTAAACCTAACTTAAAAATAATTTAATATTATTAGTTGTTCATTACTGATTAAACTTAAATATAGATTATAATCTATATTTTAATATAAAAATAAGTTACAATATAAAATATAAAAGTTCTTTTGTATATATATTTTAAATATAAATAAAATGAAAATAATCAATTATTGATTTTAAAAATAAAATGATAATAATCAATTATTAATTTTTCAAAAAATATCATCAATTATGTAAAAATAATTAAAGTACAAATAATATAGTATATTTATATATAGTTACAAATATGAACTAATTAATAATGCTAATTGAATTATATTATTAAATGAAACATAATAAAATATACATATTAATATTTGGTGTGATGAATAGTTTTACACCAAATTTGGTGTAACACTATTCACTCTACACCAAATTTGGTTGGATGGTGTAATATTTAATGTCCCATTAAAGATGAAATGACATCAAATTTGGTGTTTTGGTGTCCCATTGGAATTGTCTTAATAATAGTCTTTTTCTTTGGTGTAAATGTGAAATGCAATAATAATCTTTCAAGTGTTGAGTCTCTACTAATTTTAAGGAATCGATCGTGTATTATTTCCTAATACTCTGATTCATGCACGTTTTTATGTTAATTGGCTGTCGATCTTAGACTGATCTAGTCTTTTTCTAATACTCTGATTGATGTGTGTATCTGATATATCGCTACAAAATATATTATTCAAACGTTCTGATATAAGTTTAAATAATGGTTTTAGATAAATGTTGGCAATAATTCCACACGGAATTGTTTGTTTTTAGAAATGGTGAAATAATGTTGGGAATAACTCCGCACTGAATTTCGGTAAATGTTTGGTCAGTTCGCAGAAACACGTGTATGGTCTAACAAAATTTTTTTTTTTTGTATTCTGTATTACTTGATTTTAATATGACTTTATACCAAATAAAAGTTTTTGAATAGCTATAAAACAACTAAAATGATCAGACTATAACAAGAGGTACACATTTTACGTAGGTGATATCATACAGATAATCTCACTCTTGGTAGACTATATGCCATGGAATTTGAATTACATGGAAATAAGAGAGAAAAAGAAGAACAAAATTATTTGTTCAGCATGAATTAAATTCCAGTTAGTGTTTCCAACAATAAATTGACATGTGTTTAAGAAAGAGACTACTAAGACAAAGATTTTAACCATGAGTTAAATTCCAATTAGTGAAAACCATGAAAAAGAATAGAGAAATTAAGACAGAGATTACGACATAAGACAAATGAATTAAACATTAAACTGAAGTTTGTCTCCAAACTCAAAGAGATTAGCGAGAGGCTAGATATAAATATTTAGATTTCTTTTTTCATCTATTATAAAGAAAGAATGTATAAATTTTCTTTACATAAATATCCATCAACGTCAAAGTTCGAGTGGTTGTGTTAATATTTCCAGCTTAGCAGATTTTTTTGAAGTCTTTCTTATATACCAAAAATCTATTTATTTTTTTCCTGATAATCCAGAGTTTTATCCCTGAGGACCGGAGATCCTTGTGAATATCCCAATGGCCACGTGCTCTGAGTGTAGATGAATTCGAACTCAAGTTCCGTATAATTTATAGAACGCCATATTACCATTCGACCACTAACGCGTGGTTAACCAAAAATCTATTTCATTATACTATCCAAACCTTTAGTAAACTTCTCATTAGTTAATACAATTTTAATTTACATAGTTCAGAATTGTTCAAATCTACATTATTATTTATATATCAGTTTCAATTACACTATTTTTTTAATGTAAAAGTTAATTCAAAATACATAGAAAGATTTCGATAGTCTGATGGGAGCAAGGAACATGAGAGACAGTTTTTCACCTCCCCATTTTGAATTAGAAGCGTTTATTTGGGCAACAAAAAAAATATGCGGAACTTACGAGAGTTCCATGTGACGTTTGCAAGGCATTATTTTCAATTGGTGAAGATGATTTTGAAATTAGAAGAATGACTTGCATCTGCAACATAGTTAAAAGATATCCGATTATTGAAGGAGAGTTTTCACTATTCGGCAGTCATATATGTACACCGAATGAATAATACAAAGGCATATAGTCTAGCATTACATACTCGGAAGCAATATTTCTTCATCGTTCACATGGATGCAGAGTTACCAATATAGAATCTTAGTTGAGTCTTAGTTGAGTCTGTATCTTAATGATATAAAAAACAAAAATTCAGATTAATTTTGTTATGTTAACTACAGTTTTAATGATTTTAATATTACTTTTAAAGGCTTGATTTGTTGCCACAAATTGTTTTCTTACTTAGATATATATTGTTTATAAAATCGGTGTATGTGAAAAAAACGTTTATGTAAGAGTATGAATCTTGGTTTATTTCATTTAACCTTATTTTAATTAAAATTTATAAAATGCGTTTTAAATTTTCCTTAGGCCTCTTATAGTGCTAGTAGGACGCACGACACTGGAAGTTGGTAACTATGGTGTATAATGAACCAATAAAATATGGTTTTAATACTCAGTGATCATCATTATAGCGACATAAGTTATTTTAATTAGGTAACTAGATAGTAATCCACATCATGCTTGAATTGAATGATCTTATATATAGATTACTTATTTTTAATTTATACTCCTTCTGTTTCATTATAAGTGTCACTCTACAGCTGTGCACACGGAATAAGGAAATAATTAATTTTACATATTTCCTATATAAAAACACAGTTACCTATACACTTAACCATATTTTAACCAATAGAAAAACTAATTACATTATAAAATTAATAAATTTTGTATTAAAAATCAAAAACGACACTTAATTTGTAACGCAAAAAATTCTCTACAACGACACTTAATATGAAACGAAGGGAGTAAGTATTAAAAATGTAAAAACTATAGTCATAAATATTATATATTATATAGTGAAAGATGTAAAGAAATTATGCATGTTTATATAAAATAAGCTCTGAATGTCTTTTGCAAATAACGGATATGATAGCTAGCTGGATTCTAGCGCAAGCTACGCCAACGTTATTCACCTATACGAACACTCTACCACCAAGGACGCGGAGGAGCTCTATTGCATTGAACATGCAAAGATGGTCGAGGAACGATCTCAGGTCACTCGCAGCAAACACCGACGGGATCGAAAAAACTGCTGGCGAGCCTTCTGAGATTCGCGATCTCCGTGACTACATCACAAAAACAGCCAAGCGGTAAAGGCAGTGAAGTCTCTAATTCAGCACGCCACCAGTGGTGCGCCCGAAATAGATCGATTGTTGTACGAGTCTCAAAAAACGCTCTTTACAGCTCGCATCACCAAAATCAAGCTGGCAGATCCCGAAAAGCTTAAAGTGCCAACTTATGATTGTACAACTGATCCCAAAGCATACCTGCAAGCCTTCCAGATCACTATGGGGTG